TTATCTCTCCCCCGTCACCAAGGCCACAAGAATGGGTGGCATTGATGGTGACGGGGAGGACAAAGCCCTGCTGTGCTCCCCCGCCAGCGCGCGGGGACAGCGGGAGGTGGCACCTCCACCATCACGTGGGTCACCCCCCTGGGGACATAGATGGGTCTTGCTGTGCAGGGTGTCCCCCCCTCTCCAAAAATCGTGGGTCTGTGGTTCCATGTCCCCCCCCCCAGCCTCAAAGTGTCACTTACTCGGAGGCGACGGAGTCGGGGACGGGCTCGTCCAGCAGCTCCAGGCTGTGCAGGATCCAGTAGCAGAGCCAGGGCCGGCTGGCGTCCAGGCACTGCGGGGGGACAGGGGGGGACACCGGGGGTGACACCGAGCAGGTAGAGACCCCTGACGGGCAGCACAACCCTCCTAACCCCCACCCCAGGGCATCCCTGCGGGGACCAGCCTCACCCCAGGGGACACCGGTGAAGGGTTGTCCCCACAAGCTGGAAGGTGGAGGGGGGACATGGTGACAACTCTGGTGGCAGCCCTGGGGTGAAGGGTGTCCCCCCCCGGTGACAACCCCGGGGCAAAGGGTTGTCCCCCCCAGCTGGAGGGCAGAGGGGGGACACGGTGACACCGGTGACAACCTCAGGGTGAAGGGTGGTTGTCCCCAAGCCAGAGGGTAGAGTGGGGACACGGTGACACCGGTGACAACTCCGATGACAATCCCAGGGTGAAAGGCTGTCCCCCCAAACCCAGAAGGCAGAGGAGGGACACAGTGACACTGGTGACAACCCCAAGGCGAAGGGTTGTCCCCCCAACCCAGAGGGCAGAGAAGGGACATGGTGGCACTGGTGACAACCCCAGGGTGAAGGGTGGTTGTCCCCAAGCCAGAGGGTAGAGTGGGGACACGGTGACACCGGTGACAACCCCAGGGTGAAGGGTGGTTGTCCCCAGCCTGGAGGGCAGAGAAGGGACACAGTGACACTGGTGACAACCCTGGTGGCAACCCTGGGGCGAAAGGTTGTCCCCCCAAACCCAGAGGGCAGAGGAGGGACACAGTGACACCCCCGGGGCAAAGGGTTGTCCCCCCCAACAGAGGAGGGACACAGTGACACCAATGGCACCGGTGACAACCCTAGTGGCAGTCCTGGGGCAAAGGGTTGTCCCTCATGGTGGCAACCCCGGGGCAAAGGGTTGTCCCCCCCAAAGTGGGAGGGCAACGAAGGGACACGGTGACACCGGTGACACCCCCGGGGTGAAGGGTGGTTGTCCCCAAGCCGGAGGGCAAAGAAGGGACACGGTGACACCGGTGACATCCCCAAGGTGAGGGGTGGTTGTCCCCAACCGAGAGGGCAGAGGGGGGGACACACGGTGGCCCCGGTACCTCGTAGGCCGAGGAGAGCTGCCGCAAACCCCTCTTCAGGTAATGGAAGTGCTTCTCCCGCTGCAGGACAAACCTGGAGGAGAGGGAGGGACAGAGGGACCCGCTCAGGAGGGGACAAAAGCCACCACCCCCCCGGGATTTAGTTATTTCATGGAGCTTTTTTGGAGAGTTTTGGGGAATTAATTCCATCCCCCCCCCACCCCAGGGTGCTTACTGGGAGGCGTGATGCTTGCTCCTGTAGGCGTCGAAGATCTCCTGCACGATGTCCTCCACCCTGGTCTGCCGGGGGGGGGACACACACCGTGGGGGGGACACACACACCGGGGACACACACACACACACACCGGGGTGGGGGGG